GGTTGATTAGAGTTTCAGCTCATCTCCAATTATTCAAAAACTAAAATATCCCACTAAAAATCAGAGAAGAGTGGATCCCAGCCCAGAAGGCCTGCACTGAACAAACCCATTCTAGACATGATTAGGGACAGATGTGGTCATTAGTGTATAATTCAGCTTCAGGTTGAGAGGGGTTCCTCCATGATATGGATGTGCTGAACAAAAGCCTAAACCCAACCCAACTCTCAGTCATTTGAACACATGAAATTCCGAGGGGCAAAGCCAGCACCTTTCCTCACCATCCGATCTCTCGCCCAGCTTCAGTCAGCAGTGAGACCAGGTGCCTCACAAATGTCTGCCTGCAGCCCTGGCTGCCCCACCTGTAAATTTCAAATGAGGTCTTCATTTGGTCGTAGTACAGAGAGAGTGAGAAGACGCACATGAGAGCTGACCGAGAAGCCCTGGTGCCACACTGCCTGTCTCCGTGCTGCAAGGTGGGGAAATTTCCTCATGTCACTTTCCATCTCAGTGACTGTGTCCTCTTCAAATGGACCCTTTTGTCTAAAACTTCCCCCCAACTAACTTTATTTGACACTGAAGTAGTAAATAATAGATGTGAAACTTTTCACATGTGTGCTAAAAAAAATGTTACAAAATAAAGTTGTATAGTGCCTCCAGCTATCATTATAATTGAACAGCAGAGAATAGTTCAAAATATTTCGAAAAAAGATTGTTATGAAACATCCGCATGTCAACAGTGATTTTCTTGTAGAGTTTTGACTTTTTGGTGCTTTCCCAAGTGTCTCCCATCAGCATACATGTCTTGTCTTTCAAGAAACATATATTCTTCCAATATTTTGAATAAAATGATATATCAACTTGCGGTACATTTTTAAAGGGTGGTGTGCAATGTTCATAGTACTAGGTGACTCTGGCAAATATATTCAGTCTACCTGGAAAGCAATTGGCATGTCCACATGTAAATCATTCCACTCATTGGTGCAGTACCACCCTTCTATTTCCACATCTCTCCCAAAAAAGAAATGTTAAATGTGGATGAAATTTCATGCACAAAGCAATGTTGGGCAAACAATGTTGATTGTTAGACCATATATGATCATGAGAAAAAAAACCCTCAAATCATATATGATCATTTAAAATGCCCCAAAACAGTAAATGACTAAATAAATTGAAATGTGCCCATACTGTGAAATCATAAAAACATTTATATTTCTAAAAAACTTATTTTTTTCATGGAAATGTTTAAACATGCACAAAGTACAGATAATGGTATCTGAATTCCTGAATTCCCATCAGTTATCAGAATATTACCTGGTTTACATCATTTACATTCCCATTTACTTCACCCTCCTCCAACAAATTCTTCTTTCTTTTTTTAAAATTTAAATATAGTTGGTATATAATCTTATGTTGGTCATATTATTTTGAGTGTATAATATAATGACTGAACATTTTTATAACTTGCACTGCGATTGCTCCACTAATTCCAGTAATCATCATGTCACAAGCACATTTTTCACATCAAATCATTTCATGCATAAATTCTTCAGTATGTGTGTGCTTCCAAGACAAGAGCTTTTACAACGGTATCACAACATCATTACTAGACTTAAAAAATTGATAACTTCTGCCCTAACCGGTTTGGCTCAGTGGATAGAGCGTCAGCCTGCGGACTCAAGGGTCCCAGGTTCGATTCCGGTCAAGGGCATGTACCTTGGTTGCGGGCACATCCCCAGGAGCGGGTATGCAAGAGGCAGCTGATCGATGTTTCTAACTCTCTATTCCTCTCCCTTCCTCTCTGTAAAAAATCAATAAAATATATTTTAAAAAAAATTGATAACTTCTGAACATATTCAAATATCCAGTCAATGTTATGAAGAATTTTAATTCTTTTCATGACATGGGAAACTCTTATATATTCAAATACATAAAAACAAGTAAGAAATTATAGGAATATGAGTGCATTCTTAAATTTAATATGCATCATTTTGGCTCTCCACAGACCCCTAAGAAGAACCCCAACTTGTCACATTTCTGGTGCCCTACCTGGAACCTACCTATGGGGGCTCTGTGGGTATGTGAGCATGGGGGGTGAGCCCAGCCCACTCCCAGCCATACCTCCCAAATGAGCTGTGCTGTTCTCTGCAGACCACTGTGTTTAGCTACTGTGTTTAGCCATACTTGATGGAAAGACTATACTGTATGGGAAGATACAGATGCACATTTGGGGATTTCCAAAATCCTTGTGAAGTTTTCTCCCCAAATCTCATAGATATAGCACAGCAAAATGTTTAATACATTTTCTTTCTATTGGGGAGATCATGCATTCATATTTGTTTATTGAATCTTTTTCTTCTTCCATTTAAAAACACAGGGTAAACCTATCACCTGGCACTCCAGGTTGCTGTGAGAAGTAAATGAGCAAAGCTTGCCAGGCTTTTACCACCTGGCACCTAGATCCTGATGAGTCCTTAGAAATGGAGGTAATCATGAGGCCACACACTGTGTCTAACTCGAGGATAAAAATATAAACAGCACTGGTCTTTTATATTGTTTTGACTTAACCCCTTGAAATCCCATCTTCTTTAAGTTCTTAAAGGCCATTATTTCACTGTTCTATTTAACATCCAAGGAAGAAACCTCATATACAAAGTATCGTCAAAATAGAATGAAAAGGCAGTAGGACTACAGCAAATTTTAAATGAGTGACTAGAACCTTTTTGAAGCCACCATCCAGGTCTCTCCAACATAAGCCTGAGTGGTAGACATGTTGCTTGCTAATAATTATTTTTAGTGAATATATTCTAGGGATTTACAGTTACATGCAACTAGCTATAATAGACTGTATTAATGAGTGTAAAATGGAGAAAGATAAAAGATTTTGAGTTTGAATCTTTGAAAAATCCACAAATATAACAGAAGTAGGAAGTCAAATGTTGTGTCCCAGCTGTTTCTTGACTGGTATGAGACAGCACTTCCCCTGAGCTCTTCTTCCCCCCAGGGCCTGTGATTCAATAGTGATTGTGTAAGACAGGGCTGCCTATTAAATAGACTATATTTGGATCATGAAGCAGGTGGTGTAACCTGTCAGACACAATTCAGAAAATGCTGGTGGTTTGTAAATATGACTCTATAAAATAGTGCAAAATAAGTATATCCTTGACATTGCTTGTAAAGAGAAGGAAAAAACTCATTTCTAGCCTGCTGTCCTTAGAAAGTGTAATAGTCATAGGTGACTTAATAAGAAAAAAACAGCCCCAAAGAAACAGGTGCCTGGATGTGCATTGAAACGTTTTGAGAAGCAAGGTTCAGTTTTGGGGATTCTTCTTGAAAGAAGAAATGCATACTTCCTCTAGCCTCTCTATTGCCACGCTAATTATGCCCACTTATCTGATACTTAAGACAGAGAAAGCTTTAAGTAAACCGAATTAAAATTCCCATGCTTGTCTAAGGAAGGAAATTCAGTGTACCTGCAGGACTGTCTCCCAGCTGTTTCCCCATGGACTTGTGAACACAGTTCTCTCTCCGAATCTCATGTCAAAGCCAGCAGAAGATGGAATCATCCTTCCTTCTCTCAAGGCTGTGTATGTGTGCATGTATGTGTGCATATGTGTGTGCATGTGTGTGTGTATGTGGGTGTGCATGTGTGGGGTGTGCATGTCTGTGCATGTCTGTGCGGGTGTGTGCATGCATATGCATGCATGTGCAGTGTGTGCATGTGTGTGCATGTGTGTTTTACTCTACAATCTATCTCCTTCCTTTTCTTATTCCTAATTTTATTTTATAATCATTATGAACATCTCACACTAGATTTCATACTAGAAGTCAGAAAGTGTTAAGCTCTTTAAAAGACACAAGCAAGTCTGTTCAGGGATTCAAAGAAAATGAAAATATTTCTCAAAGGGGAAAAAAATAAGAAAAGTTATTATGGTATGTAGAGTATGCAGGGATATTCCATTGATCTTGCATTTTATTCTCCATGACAGTTATTTTAAGAATTCTGGAACTGACTTCTCCTCTATTGCTTTTAGGCTCATCAGGAAGCCCAGAAAAGAAAAGCCAAAAAAAGAAAAAGAAATCCTTCCACTCACTTGAAAAAAGGTCTAAACATTCAGTACCATTCATCTCCATAAAATGCACTTAATGAAAGACTTCAATGAAAAAGAGCAATAATTACACGATTAGAAAATAATAAGCAGAGATGGCATGCACATTCTTTTCCAGCTCCCTCCTCCACATCCCAGGGCTACACTGAACCAATGCCTAAACCCCACTGATTTTTCCTGGAGATGGAAAACAATGGCATGGCATGAACCCAGGGCACAGAGCATCACACAGAAATCATTGCCCCTGAAGGTTTCAGGTGCACAGAGACCAGCCACAGATGGTAAATTCAGAAAAACACTAGAGCATCATGAGCCCTGAGTCAACCATCCTCTCTACAGAAAATGGGACCCTTGCAAAAGCATTGATTAGTTTCTATGCAGAATTGCATTTCATCAGTGGCTGATGGACTTATGCAAATACCCTTTAGCTCAGTCAGTATTGAACACACCACACAAGACCTATAGAAACAACCAATCATTCTTCTCTAAATAATAACATTTTAACAAATAAAAACAAGTCCAAACCCAATGTGGTTAAGGAAAATAAATATATTTTTATAAGTTAGCAACATTTACTTAATAATTCCATTTGAAAATTTTCCATAACCAAAAGTAGGTGAAATTTACATTTTTCCCCAACTGCTGATGCACAGGTGTAGCTGCAGCCCGAGGGAGAAGGCATCTTGCTGACGCAGCCAGCTCCCCTGGAGGCTCACACTCCACTCCCTGCCAGGTAATTCTTCCACACCAGTCCCAGAAATCCTCATCTGCCCTTGGAACAAGATCTTTTCAAAGAAAATAGGAGCCAAGCAATTAAAATTAAAAGAGAGCTAATTTCTCTTCATTTTACTGCAATGTGATTGTAAATTATCATGTATATATATAAAGGGCTAAATGACCAACCATTCATCCGTCCATCCGACCAGCTGGCAGACCGACCAACCGGCTGGTACATATGACGTGCACTGGCGATTTAAAAATAAACGTTGACTTGCTCATGCTCGATACATACAAAGCTCTAGCACGTTCATAAATTAAATGAAGACATTTTGGATATACTCAGTGGAGATTTTCACACCTACTTGAGTGATGATTCCATCGATTCAATGGATGATGCCGAAAAGGAAAATTTTCCCATCAAATTTCTTAATAGTATTACTCCTTCGGGAATGCCGTGTCATAAATTAAAATCGAAAGTGGGTGCAATCATCGCACTACTGAGAAATCTTAATAGTAAATGGGGTCTTTGTAATGGTACTAGATTTATTACCAAAAGATTTCAACCTAACATAATTGAAGCTGAAGTTTTGACAGGATCTGCGGAAGGAGAGGTTGTTCTGATTCCAAGAATTGATTTGTCCCCGTCTGACACTGGCCTCCCATTTAAATTAATTCGAAGACAGTTTCCCGTGATGCCTGCATTTGCGATGACTATTAATAAATCACAAGGACAAATCTAGACATAGTAGGAATATTCCTACCTGAACCCATTTTCGGAATGGTCAGTTATATGTTGCTTTCTCTTGAGTTCAAAGAGCGTGTGACATTAAAGTTAAAGTTGTAAATACTTCATCACAAAGGAAATTAGTCAAGCACTCTGAAAGTGTTATTACTCTTAATATGGTATACACTGAGATATTAGAATAAGTTTAATCAATTTATCAGTCATTGTTTTTATCAATGTTGTTTTTATATCATGATTTTGTTATTTTTATATATCTTTGTGATTATATCATGTTGTTATTATTTATTTATTAATCAATTTATATATTATTTTCATATACATTTTACTAATTTTTTTTCATCTCTGACACTTCAATAGAAAGGGAGAATAGCAATATTAAAATGTTTCTTCTAATTAATTTCCTTTCTATGTGCATGTATCCATGCACTGGGCCACCAGTATTGTCTAAAGTCATCATGTTTGCATCCCTATTTCATCACCATTGATTTTATTATCATCATTAATATAATGCTCACAGGACTGCACCAGAATATATCCAAAAAGCATAAGAGCCATGGCCGATGGCTCAGTTTGTTGGAACATCGTCCCGTACACCAAAAGGTTGTGGGTTCAATTCCCGGTCAGGGCACATACCTAAGTTGCAAGTTCAATCCCTGGTCAGGGGATATATGTGGGCAGCCAATTGATATTTCTCTCTCTCTCTCTCTCCTTTCTCTCTCTCTCTCCTCTCTCTCTCTCTCTCTCTACCCACCCCTTTTCCTCTCTCTCTAAAAATATCATTAAAAACATATCCTCAGATGAGGATTAAAAAAAGAAAGTTTAAGATTAAGTATGTATATCCTCTAAAATTTAAACCTCACATAAACTATCAACAGCACAAATACTGCCTCTTGTAAATTAAGATTACATATGAATTAAATGCTAAGTAGGACAATTTTCAATCAGAATTGGATTAGTACAATTCAGTTCACAGCCCCATTTCACTGTGTCCAGTCAGGACAACCCATCACCCTGGGGGTCCGCATGAGAGGAGAAAGGAAGGAGAGAGGAAAAAGTCTGAGTGGCTTCCATTACAGAAGGTGAAGAATCACCACTTGCCGATTGCTTGCAAGTGTTCTTGCTCCTCTGGTTCACTGTTCCTATTCATTCGCGCACGTGTGTGTGTGTGTGTGTGTGTGTGTGTGTGTGTGTGTCTGTCTGTCTGTCTGTCTATCTGCATATATGTTTGAATATACCAAAACTTGCATTTTCTCTATATAATCAACATCCCACAGAGGATTTGAAGTAGGTGCCATTCCCACACTACTGTATGTAAGTCACCCCCACACCCTAAGAACTTTCTAAACACAAAAACGTAGCGAGATGCAGAAGTCACAAAGGTGCACTATGAATGGCCGGACTTAAGAATAACAGTAGCTCAGACAAGAGAGCTTATTTCTAGCTTATTTTAGGTTCAAAGGCTTACCAGAGAGAAGGAATCTGAGTGAGCCTCGAAGTATTAGGATAGGTGATAAAAGGTGTAGAAAGAAGTCAAAACATGAAGATTTGGAAGATAAAAATAAAAAGGTACATGATTCAAACACTGTGGTGTGATTACCATTATTTTCACTACTTATAATACTATCAGCACTGCTGTGACTATTATTATGACTATTCATGTTGGGAAAGTGTATTGGAAAAAGTTAAAAGCAAAACCTTAAAGCTGAAACTTAAAAACCGAGCATGACGGCAGCAACTGGTTTGTGAAAAGGAAGACCAACAGAAAACATGCGGCAAATGGAGATCAAATATGGAATGTGGAGGCTTAGAAATTAAAAAATAAACCTGACATGTTTATATTTTAACCTATAGATAGCAGAAGTCACTGGAGGGTTTTATGCTGTGACTGATATGATGAAAAAGATGTTCCAAAAATATTAAATTGGTAGTGATGTTTGGATAAACCAGGGAGGCAACAGGACAAAACCTCAGTCAAATAAATGAGGTGTCTTCACTCTTAACACAAGACAAGTAACATGTTATGAAAGTCTCTATTTCCATTTTGGAAAAGACAAAGTAATTCTGATGAATCAAGGCATAGAAGAAAGGCTGTGGCATCAGGGTCAGACGTATGTGTGGCATTTCTCTTCATCAAAAGCTTCAGAGGCAGGTCCCTGTTCAATCATTAAACCTTTGTTCTCAATGTGTCATCACTCCATGGTGTCATTCTGGAATATCCAAGATGCGTGCAGGTCATGTGATTTCCATTAGAAGAATTTTGATCAATGAAGTATGGAGTCAGTGCTGTGAGCACAGCAGGGCCAGGGTGCTTGGAAGGGAGACACATGGGCTGCAAACTTCTGCAGATCAGGATGCCGAGTCCACGTGCTTTGGAAAATGCAGGTAATTTACACTAAGATGCCAGAGGCAGCATGGCCAAGGATCACCTCTGGTGCCCCTGACCCAGATATACAACCAGGCAGAGGCAGAGCTGAAATTTCCATGGTTCACACTACTCCACCCTGTTGAGTGTCTCTCCAAGAGCCTCGTTCTTACCCAGCTTTGCCTAACACCTCCTATATCCAAAGTGACTTGCCAATGCTCCTGTGTGATGATATTCCTCAAGTATTAGAGTGAAAACATCTATTCATTTTTAATAAATTACTAAAAATAATCATTTAGCTATTTATACCATCCTCTCCTTGTGTAAGGGGCTGAGTCAGTGCTCTGACATTTATATGAGAAAACAGGATCATAAGTTGGGAATTTAAAGCAAAGAGAAATGAAGAGGGGGAAAGAAGATGACAGGAATAAAGGTCATAAAAAAGATGCATGCTGTAATATGAGTCTGTGATGACGACCAGGTGTGTAGGGCTCATTCCAAGGGCTGGGGTATTAAAGCTACAGAAATGAGAAAACAGTAGGTGAATTGATAAGTCTGTGTATCTGCCTTCACTATGGATCTTTAGAAGACTGAACTGAAAGTAAAGCCTAAGTCAGTTAAAAACCTAGTATTTAAAGAGATAAAGTAGTTAAAATAAGTAAGAAAATAAGGCATAGCCTAAGGCTGCTGAGAAAGAGGAAGCAGAGTTCTGGGTGATTGTGGGTCAGGGAGGTCAACAAGAACAGGCCCACAGTTCTCAAGGTGAATGGGACAAAGTGGGATCTGAGGCTTTACCAAGATGTCCAAGGCCACCTTGTCCAGTTAAGAGCTGGGGGGATTTAAGTTTAAACTTTTGCAAATTTCATCCTAAACCTCTTGGCAATCAAACCAAAGTAGAGAAGAAAGTCATATTCCACAACTGGTCCCTGCTTAATGCTGTTCTGCTGGATAATAATTGAAATGTCACACACACACACACACACACACACACACACACACCGGTGTAATAAAAATTGGCAGGTTTGGGATTGAAACCAAGCTAACATTTGCTTCTTAACTGCAGAGCTGTACACGGCCATCAGCGTGCTGACCCACTACTGAGAGGAAGCTCCAGTGAGGCACAGAAGCTTCCTTCACGCACCACCTACAGGCCTGGCTCTGAAAAGGGTTCTGCATTAATAGTCTGAGATATAATGACTTAAAGGACTAATTACAATGGCGAAGAGGAAAAAATGTTCAGGAAAAGTGAGTTTCTCTCTGGTACCAAGTCCTGAAGGATTTCTGTGCTGCCTGTGAAGTTCAAGCTGCCTATTCTGCATTAATAGTCTGAGATATAATGACTTAAAGGACAATTACAATGGCGAAGAGGCAAAAATGTTCAGGAAAAGTCAGTTTCTCTCTGGTACCAAGTCCTGGAGGATTTCTGTGCTGCCTGTGAAGTTCGAGCTGCCTACGTGGAGGTCAGCATCTCCCACATCAGCCAGACAGTAAATGTCTGAACAGCATTCCTCTGACCACATCCCTTGATGTGGGCATGAGCATAAAAGCAAGGAAAATTGTAAATATAAATGTAGTTTTTTAAAAGGCCAACGCTATTGCCTGATTGTCTAAATGTGTGTTCTCTGGTGGTCTGACTTGATCCAAGAGGAAAATTTAGAACAGATTATTGCATATATTTCCAGGAATCTTGTAGAATGTTCTAGATTGATATCTAGGCTGAGTTCCTATAGCTTACAAGTTAAAAGCTCTTTGGAAAAATATTGCAGATAATCTATGCTGCCAATTAATAGATTGATTGATTTTGAGCATAAATGATGAAAAAGAGTAGGATTTTAATCCTCATGCTTGAGTAGAAAATTCTGCAAGTTACATATAGAGACGGGCAAAGGGGAGCTTGGCAGATATGGTCAAGTTTTCTCGGCAAACAAGACACAGGCCCACTCAAGCAGTAGGTTTCAAAGTTCTGCACTATACAGCTTAGGAATAAGTATTCTATCCTGGAGAATTTTTAAAGCAGGTGTGCAAATTACCTATTTAAACCACTTAAAATTTTTTCAGTATTGCACCTAAAGGACCTCTAATTATAAGGAAGATAACTTCTTGGTGTACCTCCAAAATAAATTGGGTAAAAAATTAAATCCCAAGTAGCTAAATGAGTTCAATAGGATTTTTGCTACAAGGCAATTACATTTGCAGAATGTCTGCCAAAAGTAATGAGTAGGTGTTCTCAGTGATTGATCTTCAGCCATTCTTGCTGAGAGACTTCTCACCAACTGAGGCCACGCCCAGTTTTTTAAAGTCATGCCTTATATTCCTTTTTATTCTCAAGAGCAGCAGGGCATTCAGTGTCCAGAGCAGTCATGTGCCATCAAGAAGTAAGACAAAAAAAGAAGGGAGGGCAATTATCTATCACCTATGAAGAACTGTCCCACCTGTCTGAGGACAGATGCCCTCACTCTGTGTGCTGTGCGGAGTAGATATTGGTGCCTACCCAACACGGAGCCCAAGTTAAGAAGAGTTGGGATCCACATAGGCTCCCCACGTACCTCTCCCTGAGCTTATCATAAAACTGGGTCCATGCTTCCCAGCATCAGGCGAGGTAGAAAAGCAAGCTCTGCTCCTTCGGTGCGAACAGGACTGATTCTTGCATCTGCTACAACTGCCAGAGTCCTTTGGCCTCTGTCACTGTCACATATCAGGAATCAAAGGTGACAAGAAAAATAACCTAAAATCTATGTCATTGGAGGGTATGTTTTTTGTTATTTTTACAAAAGGACAATAAACTTCTGTAGCCAAAGCAGCAGACAGTAACACTGGCCTTCAGAAATGTTATTTTATAAGTTGACACCTGAAATGTGCTCTGAGGCTTTTCTTGAAAAAGGTCTCTACTTGTTTCTGGCCAAGGGTACTGTGAATCTCCGTAGGAGCTAGAGAAATTGAGACGCCAATCTTCCAGCCCCTTTCCATAAACACAGCCCATGGAGCACCACCCTGGGATTCTTGGAGCTCTGGAAGCTAGTGAGGACTAGACACTGTTGTGCTGAGTTTCTGGGGAGTGATTCTGCTGTCCCTAACACACTATCTTCCTATTACTGCCAAGGCAAGAGGGCATGAAAAAGCAAATTACATTGTCTTAGTATTGTCTGAAAAACTTAGAATAAAAGAGACACATTCTAAGCAAAAGTTAGTCCCATCAAGGACATTCAGGAAAGGTGCTGCTGATCCTAATATCATCTACTATTTTCAAGGTCTGCATTATTTGGACTTGGTTAGAAGGGGTAAGACAATGAGAAGAAGACTACCCATTTAAATATGAAATTAAATAATGCAACCATTGTGCATTCCTTTCATTGCTGGGACCTCACACAGTCACTTCAGTGCTGCAGTCACCTAAAAAAAAGTCCTTTTTAAGGGAAGATAAGTATGTGGCTTGCAAGGGGCAGATTATACAGTAGTTTTCTAATATAAAAAATTCAAACATTACCAGTATGTAGCATGTAACACAGAAGGCAAGGCAACTAAGAGATCCCTTAATGAGTCTAATTTTATCCTCAATTTTTCTTTTTCTAAATATGTAACTTAAATTTCTTCTTCTTCTTCTTCTAAAAACTCTTGGTCATACATCAATAGTTTCCAGTCAATACTTTGCCCTCTTAAACTCAAATTTACCAAACTTTAAATGGATCTTCAAAACTTTTCTCCATCAAATAAATGTTCTTTTGAACTCTTTCTTTTTCTGACCAATTAACTTTTTTACTTTCAAATAGTTCCTACAGGAGCAGCCCTTCTTACATGTTTAACCATCCTTGTGATGAGCAGAGTGAAGAAATAAAATGGAGTCACCATAGTCAAGCTGCTAAATTACTAAAATCATGTAGGTTGAAGTATGAGGAAACCATTCTATTCTTGTTTTAAGGAGCCTGAGAACTTAAACTTTTGAACTTTCCAGTCCTGCCTCAATGCCTGGATATCCATCGAACCTGCAGATAACCCCCTGGCTATCCCAAAGGATTAAAACAAGAATGTTCATGTATCCTGATAGCCTGACATTCATTATCCAGACCACCAGTCATTTAGAGGACCACCACCCCAGACAAACCCACAGGCTAAAAATGCAGGACTGAGTCTTTTCAAGAATATACTTTTTAGTATAAGAACTCTTAGCTTTTCTTCCTTCTTCAGAACACTCTGGGTCTTGACTCGTGTTTCTGGTTTGCAAACCCTAAGGCCCCTGAATAAATCTTTACCATTTATTTCTAGCAAAGCCTTCAGATTCTTTTTAGTTCATTCAATACTTGTCATCATAAATTCCCAGTATCATTTTCTAAGTTGAAAGACAATGAATATTCTTTCCTACAAATAACTTACAATTCATTTCAAGAGATATTCGTATATACATAGTATATAAAAAAATAATAAAACCAGAAATTTCTCATTCAGCAAAGACCTTCTAAGGCAGCGGTTCTCAACCTGTGGGTCGCAACCCCTTTGGGGGTCGAAAGACCCTTTCAGAGGGGTCGCCTAAGACTATCAGAAAACACATATGTAATTAAATATTGTCTTTGTGATTAATCACTATGCTTTAATTATGTTCAATTTGTAACAATGAAATTGGGGGTCACCACAACATGAGGAACTGTATTAAAGGGTTGCGGCATTAGGAAGGTTGAGAACCACTGTCTAAGGACAGTGTCTACTGTATAACTGAGGTAACCAAGGAAGTTTCTTTTTATAAAAAGTGGCACTTAATTGGGGTCTAAAATAAAGAGAAGACTTTTATAAAAAGGAAGAAAAGACAATAGCCATAAGAAATGGCTATTTTTGACAGGGTTCAAAGAAGCCATACTCTTTCTAAGTTCCAGAAATAGAAATGACATCTGTTACAGTTTAGAAAACAGTGAGTCATCTAATTTTACTAGAAGAAAAGGTTTTCTAAACTTTCTTAATCATTGAGTTTTTACTAACCTTTTTTCTAGAATGTTCAGGACAGGAAATCTCTTCCCTCCAGTGATTTAACTACACTCATTTGAGGGAATTTATTAGACCAAAGGAATTATTCATTTCTAAACAGTGTTTCTATACTTCAGCTTCTACAAAATCCAGGTGAGAAGCACAGGGAAGACTTTATCAACTTAGAACTTTGCTCCTTGTGTGGGTGCCAATGAGGAGAAATGAACCAGGGTAGAGAAACATCACTACCCTCTCTATTGTCAGTGGTATTATGAAATGATTAATTAAAACAACCACCTGTATGCAGTGCTCTCTAGTTATACAGCTGTCTCCCATGCCTGTTCATTCATCCTCACAATCACCACATGCTAGTATCATTATTTAGACCTAGGTAAGGCACATGTTAGTATCCCTACTAATGACAACATCTGAGGTTAAGTGCCATCTTTGGTCACCCTGTTGTAAATGACAGGCCAGGTTTTTATATCCAGCACTTGGACACTACAAATGCTCTTCCTCCAAGTTCATGGTCATCAGTGAAGAACCCAGGCCTGTTTGGCACAAGTCAACACATTCTTTGTGGGTAGTTTTTATCACGCGCTAACAGGTGGCGCGGGCAAATGGCAACGTTCAGTAAAATTACGATAACTTTAGTTTACGTATTTATACGTTACCTGCATTCTACCGCTAGTCTATAAAAAACGTATTAATACATGTCCCGCGCTCTACTACTTACAGTCAACGTAAAACGTATAAATACGTTTCCCGCATACAATGTGTCAATGAGGCCACATTGCTCTTTCCTGCTGGTCCTTCCCTAACTGACATCTCCTATGATTCAAACGCAGAGCTGAGTTAATCATCCTAATCTCCTGCACAGCCAATTAAGTCACAGTATTAGAATACCATGCTTGACTGTTATATACTCCACAGTCACTATGCGCTTCTCCTTGATCAATTACATGGCACATTCATAACATTATTCACAAGAGGCTGACTCACTATAATTCCTCACCATTGCAAAGAAATACAAATTTCCCTGGCTTATAATCTGTAGAATTTTTAAATACCTGAAAATGTAAATGCAAGTTAATATCTACTAACCATCCATTCAATTATGATCTCATGCACATACAAAAGATATCATTTTGTTGTAGGTGCAACAGTCCACAAAAACAGTGGTTAGAGAACCACTCAAGTTGCTACTAATTTGTAAAATAATTAAACAACTTCAAATTACAGAAGGATTCACCCAGCATACATAATATCTCCTCTTATCTGAGTTTTGACCTTTTATGGTCCACATAGCAAGGTCAACTCTCCACATGAAATTAGAGAACTGAAATGCACCTGTCTCAGTTCTGTATCCACCACTGGCTTATAAATATCTACAGAGTCTCTACTGCAAACTCAACAGCTCAGGTAAGTCAGGGTGTTTTTCCCCTTGAAAGATCTAAACAACAACTCAAGAGTGAGAAAGAGAGAAAGAATTGAAGTTTGAATGGTTTCTTAAATTTCTTAAAGACTAATATAGCATAACAGAGTCTAATTATCCAAAGGGATCATTAATTTTCCTTAATTTGAAACTATATCTCAAAGTATATTTTATTCGTATTCAGAACAGGATAAGTGGAAAATCAAACAGCAATAATGTAGACCTCATCAGTGCCTGGCCCCTGAGGGAACCATTATGCTACATTCTTTATGTTAGTTGACCTTTTCCTTTCAGTAATCATTAAAACATAAAAATAATCACAAGGAACTGATTTCAGGGACTTAGATCCTTTGTTTCCTACCTTAAACATGAAACTCAAGCTCACTTATGTGACACAGGAATTCACTTTCGTTCTATCTTTGGTGAGAACAACTGTACAAGTAAATGAGAATTGCAAGGAAGTATCCCATTTCAATGTCTTCCCTGCCTTGTTATTCATCTTCGCCTGTCCACATGGGCTCTTTCTCCTTCAAAGCAAGCTCTGGGGCTATGGAGGAAAAGTGCAATGAACAGGAACCACTTCACTTGCTAGCCAAGAGGATAGTTAAAGGGCTGAAAATTAAAAGTTAATACAATGTACAATTCAGCCTTGGTAAATCACCTTTGAGTTTAACATCTGAGAAGGTCCTATCAAACAATGATGCCCTGTGCTTAATGGCATGTTTATCCTCGCAGCATTCACGAGTTTTGTGCCGACTGAGAAAAACCATACGTTATAATGCAAGATAGAAGCATCGCTATTTATTCTCACTTAGTAAGACAGACAGATAAGCGATAACTTGCTCAAAGGAAGGCAAGGCACAATCAAATGTCATGGATTCAAGATAAGCCAGCTGGCACTGTCAACCAGGCCAGGCAGGCTACCAACTTACAATTCAAATGTTGCCGTGTTTATCAACTTCCTGGAGCAAACATTTACTGTTTTGCCAGTCATATGAGTTAAAATGCTATTATATTCCACTTAGGGGTCACAAAAAAAGAAAAGGCTAAGCAACTTGTCTTATATAAACTCTCCATTTCTCCACAAAGGGTTTCCCAGTGTGGTAACCACTGGAAAATAAATGTAATGTGCTATGATTTGGAGTCTTGTTTATTTATAAGATTTAGTTTTTTTCCCATGGCTAAGAAGCCTGCGATCCTTGGACTAAAATAATTCCTTTAACATAAGGCATAAGTTTCTAGAATGGGTATATGTGTGACCTGGGACAATTCTGCAGGACCATATTAAAAGGTATTGACCTGCCATCACTAGCAAAGCAGGATCTGAACAGATATTTGTGTCAGGAGACAGCTTGTCTGTCAACCTTCAGAAGTCAGGATGCAATAGTGAAAAGCACAGATCAGTGGGGACAACGGGTTCTGGTGTGGTGCATGGCTCGGAAGGACATACATTTATTGGGGGCAAGGAGAGACTGTAGCAGACTATTACAAAAACATTAAAAATGTTCTCATTTTTGGCCTACTTTTGAATTTTGTCCCACTCTATAATAATCACAGAACTCAAACTGCCATTGAATTGACTCACTGCAAGATAAAGAGAGAATGACCAAGCATCACAGTGAAAAGACCAACCCCAGGAGGGAAATCAGGAGACCAAAAGAAAACAGCACGTCTGGCAATTTCAAATAAAACCCAGGAAATTCAATATGCACCGTTAATTTTCACATGAATCCCTTACATTGTTTTCTTTTTTGTCTGCAGCCAACTGTGCTTTTTCATAGGACAATTATTTGCTATTCAGAATTGCTATTCCAATTATTTCTTTAATAATAATTCTATGGGATTATCTAGTTTCTCCTTTCAAGAAAATTTTCTTCGCTTTTTATTGCCTCGTGTGACATCCACCGAGGTGATTTTGATTATGTAGAATTAAATTATTCATTATTAATAACAACCATACCATTTTAAGGGGCAAAAATGTAAAGTGCTTATAGCTTTAATTCACATACAGACAAGGAAAGCCAAATGCACTTGATATAAATTGGTAACTGGATGACGTGGGTAAGGGCCACAGGATAAGCAATAGTGGTATGAACACAGAAGAATGATTCACATCTGAATACCCAGGTCAGTCACAGTGAGGAGCAGCCCACACCGCCCCCCTGTCAATGAGTTTATTAAATTTTAGCAAGGCCCCCAGCTGCTCATTAGCTGTGAACACTCGGGAACACGCGACCTGCTTTTATTACTTTAAAGAAGCAAAAATATGCTTTTTAATGTGATGTGGACTGAAAACATTGATTTATTAAAAGACATTTTTAAAATGCAAACTCCTTTGGGGACAAAGCACTCTGAGGTGTGTGTGTGAGAGAGAGTGTGTGTGTCTGTTTTGATGGCAAAATTCTCCACTAGGGTGCCTGGGCCTCTTCTATTTGCAAGTACAATCAGTGTACAAATATCCTTGGTGTGTGTGGTCTATCTCCAAAATTAAAACTAGTGCCACCATGTTTGTATCCAATCCTCTTCTTCTAGTGGGATTGTTTATATAAGTATAAAAAATGACTTTCTTAGGTTAATTCATTTCGCCCCTTCTTTAGACGAGAAAAGCATTGAATCCCTAATATGAAAGCACAGGGTTACTTTGCTGATTACAACATGCTTACGTACTTCACTGTTCATTGCAGACCAAAGACAAATCATATGTCTTCTATTTTTAGAAGTGGCCTGGAAAAGTCAGGTTAAATCATAGCTGCCCTTCGTGCTTACCTGGAGAGCAGAGGAAGCAACTGGGCTACCACCATGCCCTGGGAACTGAGAAAGGACCTCCTTCTGCCCAAATCAAATCATGTTTCTTCCATCCTCAGTCTCCTTGACATTTTTGACACATTACACGCTTTACCTTGCAGAACTGCTTCCTTTGGTTTACTAGTCTTCCTGCCGCTAAGACAATTCCAGCTGCTTTCTCCCCCAACAGGTACACATCGACTTCCCTCCTGCTCTCAGACCCATCCATGCACATCCCCCAAATGCAATCAGCCATCCACCACTCCTCTGTCATGACTCTAAGAAAATCCATCCTTGATTTAGCCTGTTACCACCTCTGTGCATCTGAAAATCAAATCTTTCTTGACAACTCATTCTTCATCCAATTCTAAGACTGTATCTTTATCATTCTATCACATAGATTTTCTAGAAAAAAGAATGAGGTTGTCATTTTTAACAGAGCTACATACTCAAATGATTAGCTTCCCAAATGTGTTATTTTGCTAGGGCCCTCCAGGAAAATAGTAATGACTAGAAAATTAGTCAAAAACTAAAGCAATGAAATGCCAGTTTTTATAAGTGATTAGACTATATTTTTCTTAGCATTCACTAGGTCTATTTTTTAATCAAAATCATTAAGGTTATTGCCCAGCTGGCATGGCTCAGTGGTTGAACATTGACCTATGAACCAGGAGGTCATGGTTCGATTCCTGGTCAGGGCACATGCTCAGGTTGTGGGCTCAACCCCTGGTGGGGGGATGGCATGCAAGAGGCACCCAATCAATGATTCTCTCTCATCGTTGATGCTCATAGGTCTATTTTTTAATCAAAATCATTAAGGTTATTGCCCAGCTGGCATGGCTCAGTGGTTGAGCATTGACCTATGAACCAGGAGGTCATGGTTCGATTCCTGGTCAGGGCACATGCTCAGGTTGTGGGCTCAACCCCTGGTGGGGGGATGGCATGCAAGAGGCACCCAATCAATGATTCTCTCTCATCATTGATGCTCCAATCTCTCTTTTCCTCTCCCTTCCTCTCTGAAATCAATAAAAACATATTTTTATAAAATCACTAAGGTTCCTTAGTGGCA